TAAAAACAGTAATATTGTGAAATATTATTACAATTTAAATAACTATTTATTTATTGATTTATTCCTGTGATGGCTAAGCATAATTTTCATCATTCATTACTCATTATATTACTTTAGTATCACGTGATCCTTCGAAAATCATTCTAATTTGCGTTTTTACAGATAAATGACTACAATTTGGATTTCATCAGATTATTAAGATTCTTACCACCCAGCAGGCGTTGCCAAGGTCAGCAATCTTGACCTTGATTTTGTCTGCGTTAAGTGGCTCCAGTGGATTGACCAATAGGCTTCCAGATGACAACTTATCTGGAAGAGAAGGAAAAAGCTAATCAAAAACAGACATATGTGGTCACTATGAACTGTCATTGTAAAATGACTCATCAAAAATGCTCATCAATAGCATTGCAGGTTAAAAATTGCACGAGGATGAACAAATAATGACACTTTTTAAATTTTTTAATTTTATTTTTAATACAAAAAGTTACCAGCATGTAAAAATCATATAATTTTAACCCTCTTAAAAGCCGTAGAAAATTCTCTGACCGTTCTTTAGCTTATCCTTGTTCAGTTCCCTGGCTCTGGTTCTAGTCTTTTGCTGATCTTGCTCTCCGGATGGCAGCTCTCCCTCCTCCGGCTGCTCTCGGCCTGAGATGCCATTACTGTAGCCGGCCTGGTCCAGTTCAGGGGACTCTGCCCCATTACAGTACTCATACATGCTTTGAGCAGTGTCCTCTGGGCCTGTGTTTGCATTATGGTGGTCCTCCTGTAGCAGCTGGCCATGTCGCTGGTCTCCTTGACCATCCTCCTCAGGTTGTGTTTGACTGGAGTGCATACAGCCGTTACAGTTGAGCTCAAGTGAAGCATCTGAGGTTAGTCTCTTTCTGGTCTCCACTGTTACGCGAGATGCAGAGAAACAGAAATATGTTGGCGAAGTGTTAATGGCAGCTGACTTGTATGGAATCACAAATAATAGCAAATTCTAAACAACTTTAATTAACACTATCACTATAAAAGATTATTGATACAAATAGAAGCTAACTTATTGTGTCCTCAGTAGCAATGTCCTGCAGTGACAATTGTCTGAGTGGGGCACAGGAGAGGGATTTGGGGGATTCTGGGTCATCCTCCTCTTCCTCTCTGCCTTCAGGCCCAATCTCCATCTCCTCCAAGTCCATAATGCACTTCTCCAGGAGCTCCGCTTGACGCTTCTGCTTCTTCTTTAGCTTCTTTTTCTTGTTTTTTGACATTTTCGGTGCCTGAGGAAGAGCAAGATGGGTAATCATGTTAATGCTAAAAAGCAAAAGCATTTTGATGACAACTGAAACATTACAGGTTATTTGACAAATAAACGTACACTACCATGCAAACGTTTAGATTTTTTTTCCAAGATGTTTTTGAAACATGACTCTCAGTCTTAAGGAAGCATTTATTTGGTTAAAAACAGTAATATTGTTAAATATTACTCCAATTTAAAAGAGCCGTTTTCTATTTTAAAACATTTTCAAATGTAATTAATTCCTGTAATGGCAAAGCTGAATTTTCAGCAGCCTAAACTCCAGTCTTCAGAGTCACAAGATTCTTCAGAAATAATTATAATATGCTCATTTGCTGCTCAAGAAAAATGTATTACTATAAATGTTGAAAACAGTTGTGCTGCTTTATATTTTTGTGGAAACTATGACACATTTTTTTTAGGATTCTTTGATGAACATTTATTTAAAATATAAATCTTTTGTAACATTATAAATGGCTTCACAGTCACGGTGGCAAGATTTTAAGTTGTAAATAACCCAGAACATTCCTGGAATTAGGAACGACAGCTCAAGATTATATTCCGAGAACTACAGAAAGAATGAGAATAACTGAATAGTTTTCTTCAGGACATTCAAATTAATTGAAAAGAAAAAGATAATTTAATTTTTCAAAATGAAATGCTTAAACATCTGCTAAAGAAGGAAAACATACCTGTTTAGGCGCTGGGGCAGTGCTCACTGGAAGATAAAGAACAACACAACACAATGACAGCTTGCAAAGTAAATCAGTTTTAAGAGCAGTATGCTAGAGGGTAAGAAGCTAACCAACAAGTTGTGTTAATAAGAGAATGTGAACTGGCTAAAAAAAACTAGTGGGGAGAAGTTGACAATCATTCGAAACTGACTGAAGCCGTGTAATAAGTGTACTTCATCATGTGTGTGTCAGTAAGCAGAGCTGCCGTACCTGCTGACCCAGATGGAGGGGGAGCGCCTGCTTTCTGCCACTCAGTGGCTTCTGCAGCCAACCGCCTGATATACAGCTCATCCACACTCATGAGAATGTTCTCTGGCTTAATATCTGTGTGGATAATTTGACACTTGGTGTGCAGGTAATCCAGACCTTGAAGAACCTGAGAGATTTCAAAAACACAGAGACTCAAACAACTATAGAAATATCTATTAGCATCTTTCTAAACATACTTAAGCAACACAACACATAACTACATTGTTATTATTATTATTGGTTATTCACAGCTCTCTAAAACAGATGATTCTGAATGCTTTTGATTCTAATTGAGAAACACTCTGTAGAATTGTTTTTGTTTTTAAAAGAAATCTCTTATGCTCACCAAGGCTGCATTTATTTGATTAAAAATACAGCAAAAAAAATTCATTTTGAAATATTACCACAATTTTTTCTATTTCAAAATATTTTAAAATGTAATTTATTCATGTGATTGCAAAGCTGAATTCAGCAGCCATTACTCCAGTCTTCAGTGTCACGTGATCCTACTGAAGGCACAAATTTTTTCCGGATTCTTTGATGAACAGAAAGTTCAAACAGCATCAAAGTTCAAACAGCATTTTTTTCCCCCGAATCTTTTGTGTTTTTAATGTCACTTTTGACCAATTTAATGCATCCTTCCTAAATAAAAGTATTACTTTATAAAAAAACATTTTAAAAACTTTTGACAGTCATGTATATTATCCCTTATAAACATGTCTGTTCTCATGGTTTTATTAAAAAAAAAAAAGATGTGACACAGAAACTAAACATGCTGTTATCATCAAATAAATCTGAATTTTTAATAAAACCAAAAATGTTAAGCAAGACTGTAAACCCATAATAATTCATCTGTGACTGATCCACTGAATCCAGCAGTTAATTAGTCAAACCGTAATTACGTGAACACTGATCTGGTTGTGCGGTGGTGTGCTGTGTTACCTGTCGAATGATGCTCTTGACACAGGGCAGAGGTAAGCCTTGATAGTTGGACTTGATAATCCATTTAAGCAAGTGGTGTCCTAGAACCTCAAACACCATGCAGACATCTGAAAAGTCAAGTGAAGGTCCAGCGCTTTTAAAAACGGAAACTGCTGTTGATAGAAATAAGTGTAGAACCAGAATACCAGAATAGCTTCTCTCGGTATAATCACTACCACGCAACAACTGTTTCAATGTCGGCAGTCACAAGTGCCCTTGTAAAAGAATTTGGGGTATCTTAAAATAGCATGGGACACCTGTTTGAAGACTTCTTGACCCATTTTATTTCTCACACAGACACAGACACACACAACATCCTTCATATTCAAGGATACGAGTCCCATTGACCCCTGAGATCTTGAAGTCATCCAGTAGCTGCACAACCATCTCTCTGTTTGGATCATCAGGGTCTGTATTTCTGACCTGGAAACAAAACAAAACAATATAAAATAAATAAATATAAATAAATTTAAGCATCCTGGTTTAGTGATATGTATGCTTGCCTGAAAAAAACAAACTTTTTTTTTTAATCTATATTTAGATTCAAAATAATTAAAGTAATTGATTAAAAATGATTTAGATAGCCTATATTTCACTGTTTCATTGTTTTTGCCTTTCCTTTTTTTCTGAAATGATTATTTAAAGCGTTTCAGTTTTAGTGGTTTCTTGATACTTACAGATCTGAGTAGCTTTATTTCATCCAGAGCTGTTTCAGTGTAATGCTCTGCACTCTTTACCACCTTCATTGCAACAAACCGCTTCCCGCTGCAGAGAAGGAAAGAATGAAGAGAAAAACTGTCAAACTGTCAAAACTGTCTCATGCATATGCGATTTTGGCACATTATAGTGTGGTTATTCAAAATGACAAAGCTCTTACTGGATGTCCCAGGCCAGCCACACAGTGGAGAAATGCCCCCATCCCAGCTTCCGGATCACATGGTATTTACCATTGAGTAGGTCCCCTATTTTCACATGATGATATCCTCCTAACCAAAGAACAACAACAATCCTTCAATTTGTATTCAGACAGCTCATCGATTGTCCTTTAGGGCTGGTTTGATTGTCATTTTTTTAGGGACTGATTTTAAGCAATCAATTTAAAGGATGTTTAGACCAAAAATAGAAATTAGAATTTGATCAGACTATTGACATTGTAAAATAAATAAATAATAAAGTAAAAATAAAAGAATGTGAATAATAACAACATCACTTCCCTTTTACATTAAATACAAAAAAAATCACAGATATTTGAAACATACAGCGATAGGGGTATAAACACAGAGGATGATGACATTACTGTATTTACAGTACAAAATATCCATTTCTTTTGCAGTTTACAGTAGTTATGTGTTGCACTTCTAGGAAGAAACTAGTTTCATCAACAGAAAAAACAACAACTGTGAAACAAGGAAGTGCTTCTAGTTTTTTTAGCTTTCTCAGACTGAGCTCGTCATTTCAGCAATTTTAAGTCTAGTCTATAATAATCAAGCTGTAACTTCTGCTTTAAAAAAAGAACTTATAGAGCTTCGTCTCCAACCTTTGCAATAGTCATTAGGATCTTCTTGCTCTTCATCATCAGAACCGAGGATTTCCTCATCGGGCTCCTGTATCCGAGTCTCTGTAGGGGGCTGCTGTTGTGATGCCCCGCGTGGAGGATGTGCTGGCCTGAGGGATGACAGTACATTTCATTTAGATCAATGGACACACATTATACAGCACAGTCTATATATCTTACAGTATAAACACTCACAGAGCCATCATCTTACATGAAAGACTCTTTGATGCTGATTTTACATGGATTAAATGTTCTGACAACCGTCTCAGCATGTGATTTTAATTTTTGACACACTACACTAACATAAAGACTAAATTTTACTACATATAAACACCTTCAATGACCGCACTGAATAACCGAACTGGACTGACCTGAATAAAGCAGCTATATAATATTAGAATAAGTGAAACAGAAGTTGTAATTATAATAACTAAAATTACGGAATCCTGATCTAACAACTTGTGATGCTGATGCTGTTTTGCTACTGCAAATCTGCTTTAAAAAGATCTACAGAGGAAAAAAAAATCTACATTGTTAAAAATTGGCATTGTTGGTTCCAAGAACTTTAACATCCATAAAAATTTTCCAGTCCACAAAAGGTTCTTTATAGTGAAAAAAAAAAAGTTCTTTAGATCATTCAAATATTCTTTACACTAACAAAATGGTTATTTTAATAACTTTTGAACTGATAGGTTGTTTGGGGAACCAAACCAAAAAATTCCCTAATCCCAAGCCAAATCCCATTTTGGTAGCATTATTATTAAGAGTGTAAATAAATAAACTTGTTAAAAATATATATATATTTTTTTAAACTTCATCTGAATCTAAATCCCAAAAACACAATGTCAATGTGCACACACAGCTAGCGTTTCGTTTTCTACCGCATAAGATCTTTTGTTAAATACAATGTTTACACTATCGTGTAAAAAAAAAAAGTCTACCAGTGTTTCAATGCATTTCACTGACTGCATGCATCCTGCATGTATCCATGCTTGGTTTAAACTTTAAACCATGCAAGAAAAACACCTGTGTCTTACATCACAAAAACTGAAGTGAAAGAAAGCACAACTTGATACGCTGCATGCCAAAAAGATGACTTAATTTACCAAAATGTTAAGAGATATTATCAAATGAACAGTTCAACAACTAAGACTGAATAATCAGAGTAACACTCAAGATGACTCATTCTGTAAACATCAAAACAGTGGCACCTAACAGACACTGCGTTTAACAACCTACTAAGCAACTTCCAGAATATCATAAAAAAAAATTAAAAAAAGTAAACGACAGAATACCATATTATGGTTCCTATCTTAATGTCCAATGATAACATCCCAGAAAACAGTTTAACTGTGCACAACCCCGTATACATATAGGCAGTCCTTCTTAGGTCTAGTCTAACATTGTCATTTTAAAAATTAAAATCAACACCCAAATAAATAAAAACTAGCAGGAAAAAAACAAGAGTATAAAGCACAAACTCACTTCTTGGTCGGCTTCTTGGCTTTGGCCCTTTTCTTCCTCGCCTGAAGTGCCAGAACTGGTGGGACAAATGAAGTACAACATATGACGATGAAACTATTAATAAAAAAAATCACTTAAACTCAGTTATTCAAAGACAGCCAAACATAGCCTGAAAATAATACAAAAGACACGCAGACCGGTGATAGTCTTATGTAATGTACATAAACAATACACAGCTGGGTGTTTACATTGTGACAGGAACTGAGCGCTTTACATGAGTGCAGACGTGGCTCTTTAATAACATGCATTTTCATCTGTTTTTATAACGCCAGGAACATGGACGCAAAAACGAGGCTGTAGGAAATGAATTCCCTTCAGTTTCCACGACAGCAAAGAGGAAAACAGACGCTTTCAACTCTCATCCAGCTGATACGTGCACGCGCCTACTCATAAGATTAACGTCCATCTACAACAAAATAAAAGCGAAATCGCTTAAAGTGAAGGCGATACAAACCGACAATAAAACATGCCTCTGGGGTGTGATGAAAATAAATTTAGCTCACTTCAGCTGCAGACTGACTGGCTACATGCTAACGCTAAAGACACCAGCCCATGCGTCCCAATACAACACAAAATGCGCCTTTATGCTTTAATATTACACTACTCGTGTGAGTCAGAACGTACGTTAGTCACCTTGCCTCATGTATAAACGTTACAGCTTCAAATAAGGCAAGTATTATTCAGAGAAAGTCAAGGAAGAGATTACCTTTTCTCTCCATGTTGGCCCCTTAGTTGGCGGCTTGGGTGGCCCTGCGCATGCGCGCACCTCCGGGCACGCGCGTCTTGACTCTTGCGCGTTCACAGCGCGAACTGTCACATATATATATATATATATATATATATTTTTTTTATTTTTTTTTTTTTACAAATGTGCTTTCGCAATTATACATCGAAAGATGTGACAGTGACAGAAGTAGCCAGACGAGCGCATCTTAAACGAAAACAAAGCACAGGTAAATCTACGGGACAAAATGCATCATGGTAGCCATAGTTACAGCGGTTACTATTGTATGGTTTCTGTGGTCATTTTTTATAAGAGAGTAAAGAAACTCTTGAAGGTGCATTGGTCATAAACTGCATTTTACGGTAATACATTTTTAAATGAAATCCAGACCTAGAGTGGAGAAGGTCAAAAATGACCTCACTCTCTATTGTTCAACATAAAACAATCAAAACAAAGAAATTTCTGAAAAATATCGGCCTTTATTTTCAGTAAACAATGGTGTGTTTGATTCCATGTTTTCTATGTCAGGTGCCAAAGACAGTTGTGGCTTTTCAGGTTCATAAATACCACCTCAAAAGTATATAAATATTTTACTCTACTGTCATATTTGAACATTCAATAATAGCACTTTAAAAACAGCTACTGGATGCAGAATCATATCGCATACAGTTCATAGTAGCAACCTCAGACAGACAGACAGACACACACACACACACACACACACACACACACACACACACACACTTTCTCTGCCTAGGAAACGCACAAAAAATTTGAAAAAGATCAGAAATAAAACAGCTACAGATTCGAAAAGCTTTATGGAACGTATATTTACAAATAGCCTAAACATATCACCAATACCCAATGCAACAATTTACATTTTTCATCTTAGCTCTATCAAAGGAGACTCCAATAAATCCCATCTTTATGAAAACTGATTAACGAGGAACATACTGTAAATCTTTAAATACAATGCTCATTATTTGATTGGAAAATATATATATTAACAAACTAAATGAACAATGTTTTCTGAACATTTTAAAAGTACTGCAAATGTGATGCATTGTACACAGAAAGAACATTATAACAGCACAACTAAATACTAAGAAATTTCAGGGAGATGTTACATTTACAAGTGGACTTGCATGAAAAAAAAAAAGGTTGATATTATTACTATCAGAATCCTTTGAAGAGATTCAATGTGTCAATTCAAATAATGATTTTCTATGACATCTTTTCCTTCTGTTTGGCCCAGCAGACAACATAAAAAAAAAGAAAAGAAACCGTCAAACATCCTACTGACTGGCTGATTACAATACTGCAAAATGGCAGCATTACTGTAAAAGTAGTACAGCTGGTTTGATTGCCATCCAGAAGAGAAGGTCAAGACTCCATTTCATCTCCCTCAAAGACTGGCGGCTCAAAACTCATCACCTCGTCATATGTCTGACCTGAACAGGAACAGAAACCAACATTTAAGGTTGTGACTGCAACATACATTAAAACGTAAATCTAGATTATCCTAAATAATGGCTTTATGAAAACTGCCCATTATTTTAATTAACTGAAACATTTTACTAATTGAAATAAAGCTGAAAAAAATATATAAATATTAGATGAAAAACAACTAAACAAATTAAAAATATTGCCTATGCAACTAAAACAATTTGTTGAAGTTGAAGCACTAAAAATACTAACTGATATTAATAAAAACTAAAACTAAAACTGAACTAAAACAAATGAAAATACCTAAATATTAATATTTTAAAACTAAAACAAAAATGAATAAAAACGACAAAAGCACAGAACAAAATGACTTATTAAATTAAAATTTAAAAAATACTATAAAAATAAAACCTAATTCAATTAGTAATAGTCTATTCAGAAAGTAATAGTAAATTAATATAAATATAGTATAGTAATTATAATAGTATAAAAATAATCATAAAATAACACTGGTTCAGAGTGGGAGGATGGGGGGACAGGGGCCCGGGTCTAACCCAACGCCTCAAGTGAACAAACCTGCTAAAATTGCTTAAAGCACTTGTAACTTTTTGGCATTTTTCTTATAAACAGAGCAAAAACTCTTGACTCACGTTTCCACTCTTCAATATCAAGCTCTTGGCTCTCAAAGCTCTGGTCGAAAGGCTCTGCCTCGGGTTCATCATCTGGGTCATGGTACTGAGCAAAGTACGGGTGAGCCAGAGCCTCCGCCGCCGTGATGCGCTTATCCGTGTCCAAAACCAGCATCTTCTCTAGAAGGTCCACAGCTAAAACAAAAAAAATGAAATATTTAATCAAAAACAAATACCTTCAGCTTTTTTTCTCTAAATATTTTACTGCCCTGTTTGTTTCATAAATAATGTGTACACTTACACTAAATATACCAACACTGTATTTGCACATGCACAACCATTAAAAAGTTTTTTTTTTTGTATTCAGCAAGGATGCATTACATTTATCAAAAGTGACAGTAAAGACAATTAGAATGTTTCAAATGCAGTTTTTCTGAACTTTCTGTTCATCAAGAACTCTAAATGTATCACTTTTTCCACAAAAATAATAAGCAGCACAACTGCCACTTTTACCTTGTGGATTAGCTCCGACAAACACATCAGCAAAATTCCTCTTGGGCATCTGAGGAAGTGAGTTGATGTAAGTACGAGCCTGTGGAAAGAACCAGGTGAACCATGAGCAAGGTAATGAAATAATGTTGATTACTGTCATTATCAAAGTAGCAGCTATATTCATTTAAAGTTAATATTACAATTAAGAACTGAGCTTGTTGCAATTCTTGACTTGATCACCATGACAACTGCTTGTGTTTTTGCACATTGCTAACCCTGTGAATCATAACATTGTGGAGTTAGTATGCAGTGCCATTTGAATAATGCAGCAAACAAACAGCTTCAGAAGGCAGAGGGAGGGGTCTGTGCTGTGCTGGCGATGACAGACAGTGATTTTAGCTCGCGTAGATCAGTGAATAACTGCATTACGGCTCAGCGGCAAGCAGTGAGCAAAGGAGAAAGCGGAGAAGATAAAGGAACTCTATTGGGTCGACTTTATTACCACTATTACTTTTGCTTGTATTCTCCACACAAAATAATGTTTTAACCAGACTTGACAATGTTCTAATGAATATTGTATCAGTTTGCTCTGTTCCCCTAATCTGATTGGCTGAGTGGGTTTTCAGTCCAAGGTCACTATTTGTATCACTCAAGCTTGGAACTGGAGCAATTACAGAACGCATGGATGTGTTTATCAATCTCTCTTGATCGTGTGATATCGCTTTATTATAAGTTAATAGGATTTTTTAAATTCTTCTAAATGCAGTCCGTATTTCCAAAATGAGGTCTGCTAATTAAAGGGCATGATGGGTATTCTGCAAACAAGGGGCTGGGCGACAGCGAGCTCACCTCATGGCTAGGCATCCTGCTTATTAGAGAGGCAGGTGGAGTTCCTGTAAGTCGCATTATCTGTTGAAGCTGGTTTATATCTTTGAAAGCCGGGTCAAGGAGCTCACGGTCAACAAATTTAGTGTAATGCAAATTTGTCAAATGTTATCTAGACATTATATTGTGGTTCTCCACTGCTCTAGGGAGAAAGACATGATCAAAGAAGGAGAGAGGAGAAATTGGCATGCAAATTGTGTTCATATACAGCAGAGAAGAATGTCATGCTTTAGAGATTTTGGCAAGGATTAAAATCAGTTTAGAAATACATCAGCAGAGCTGGAAGACAAAACTCAGGCTTGTTAATTTCAGTTTAGATGATGATTCAGTCCCAAACAGAACCTCAAATCAGTCTTTCATCTAAAAGTGAAGCCAAAAAGTCAAAGTTCAGTTAGAGAACACTGGAGAAGCATACTTTTCAATTAGCGACAATCAACACACATTCCCTGTTGGAAAATCCAGCTTATAGTGTTTTCTAGCTGGTCCAAGCAGATCATTAGCTGGTCACCCAGCCACCATGTCTCAAAAACTAGCTTTCTCACTTTAAGATCTGGTAACTAGTCTTGTACACTGTCTATTTTTGGGGTCAGTATTTATGTATTTATTTACTTGTTTAAGAAATTACTACTTTTATTCAGCAATGATTCATTAAATTCATAAATGACACAAAATGTATTGCAAATAAATACTGTTCTTTTGAACTTCCTATTCAAAGAATCCTCATCCAGCCTGGACCAGAGAAAAGCTATTACAGCTGCCAGCTTCAAATGGATTTTCCACTTTGAAAATCAACACAGACAGGCGTTTTTAGCAAGTACACACTTCCTAAATATATCAAACTCACAGACTCCGATGAAATTTTCATTAACAGCTCAGGTCCTGGAGTTCCAACCAGAAGCATAATAAGCTTCAACTGATCGATGTCTAATAAAATGAGATGAAGGAAAACTAGTGTGGCTCAACAGGGAACAGGCCACAAAAACAAAGCAGGAAACGCTTATTTTGGTTTCATGTGTTCTTAAAGAACAGGAAAGCATAGACGCTTCGGTCACACCTGTGGAAAGACGAGCAAGCTGATAAAAATAGCACAGGTTGAATATTTTCAGCCTGCTCAGCAAAAGCAAGTCAGAAGAAGCTGCACAGGTGTGCTCTGCCTGTGAGAGGGGGAAATATTCGGCAAGTATTTCTGTTCCATGGATGTTGTGGAGCCAGATGCATTTAGAGTGGCAGCCGTTCAAGATACAGTGTGTCAAATATGCAAAGCCAGGGGGGAACACACACCGCAAGTGCTGAAACCTGAAAACATGTGTCATTGGAAATTAGAAGCGAGAAAGAGGCATGTCATTTCCTGCAGGGCAGTTTATTGCATTCTCATATTGATGGATGATATATCCTTCCAATCGCTGTTGCGTCTTGGGCCGTAGCTGAAAGGCGTAGCTTAAACGGAAAGGACAAAAGTTCAGTTTAAGACAAGAGCTTCTGCCGTAGCACAAATACACACTGCAAGGACAGAAAAATGGGAGAAACATAGAAAATAAATTGTAATGTGGTGTAGGGCTGCACGATTAATCGAATGCTATTGTCATGCACAATTTGTTAGTAATGCCGGTTCTGTAATCAGC